AAGCTTCCAATCTTGAGGAAGATTAGACTCTTGATACCAAGGAGCTTGGTGCTCTTTCCCCTTTAAGATAACCACTGGTGGTATAGTGATTCCTTTAGAACTCACACATTCAATGATTGTGACCCATTCACGATTTCCCTGGATAACTGTATGAGGTCTCTCACTGCGTTCCACTGCAGTAATAACTTTAGAAGTTGTACAGAGACCCATTGCAAAGCCAGTCTCATCAAAATTCCAGATATCATCCTCATGTATACCATGTTCTTTAATAGCATCATGCACAGTCCCAAACCATTGCTTTAGGACCTTTGGGTCCTCCTGCTTTGCACGCTGGTATGTTATCCTCCGATTATACCTTGTACGTAGTTCAGGACGGCGTTTAATAAAGGAAGAGGCCCAGTTGACTCCAAGGACTGCAGTGGGATCTTTTGTATGTTCATGAAGTAAGATCTGTGCCATTCCATGTAAAAACTCTGGCTGGACTGAAAAACCTCGTTTATCTGCATTGAGAAGTTGCTTGACAAGAGATTCCTCTTCAACGGCAGTCAATTTATGGCCACTGGCACGTGTTTCTGAACGTGGTTGGATTCCATCAAGCCGATTAATAAAAGTAGACTTTGGCACCCCAAAAACTGCTGCTGCCTTTGATTTTGATTGAATTTTTTTGCTTCTATACGCGCTGATGGCCATTTGAATTCGATTTTCTTGAGAAAGAGGCATTTTAGATGATGGTGGTGACAAAATGACGCGTTGAAGTATGATTGTTGGAAAATTGCGGAGGAAGTGGACGGGACGGCCGTGTGGACGGCTCGGCCGTGGATTACGTTAGTTAGTTAATGTAATCCACTAGTGAGCCGCGCACACGTGCGAGCCGCACAACTCCCTGACGAATGTCAGAAAGCAGGCCTATTTTGAACCCCAAAAATGAATTTCTATATAAAAACTAATTACTATTGTGATTAGGACATTGCAATCACCTATGTCCTATCTTATGACAACCACTGCATCATAGTGGTGCTTGTACAGGGTGTTGTTCTGCTTCTGATGCTGGTTCAGCAGGTACAGTAGATATAGCTTCTTCAACCTGATTCCTGCTCTGTAGAAGGCCCTCTGTATGAGTTATTGACAACGGGGAAACACTCAAGACTGGATCAGAACCAGCGGGTCGATATGGCTGTAGGTGAAGAGAACGACGGAAAGAGCAGAAGACTCCGTAGAGAAAACGACTGAGCAAAAAGGAAAGAAAAGAAAAGAATGAATACTACGCGTACTGGAACTGCTTCGACGATAACTGAATGAATTGTATGGTAGTTAGTTGGTAGATACACGAAGCGAAACTCTGCATTGAATACCGCAGGGGACGTCTCTGCCTGGGCCAGCGAAGAATAGGGTTGGGCGCGTAGTGGGTGTGGTTCCCCGACTACAATACATGTACAGACATCGGAGGCACTTCCTAATTAGGATTTGAGTTTACACTATATGAAACAAGCCTTTCTGGATTCGTCTAATTTTACTGCGTGGCGGGTTGCTAATGTTCCCTATTTCGTATGTATACATACATACATACATACATACATACATACATGAATTATATGAGCCTTTTAGCAGTGTTCTGTTCCAGCACTGCACAATCCATCGATCTACAAATCACCCAAAAATTTCGCAAATAGCTCATCCTTTGGTGCTGACAAATTCCGCCTGCTGTGACTCGGGTAAGCAAGTGTCTCGGAGCCGATTGGGGGGCCGGATGCAGTCATGACCAACAGCCTGATCCTTCGTGATGGCAGCCTCAGTACGTACGGAGTCTATTCCTCGCTTTCGCCCTCCCTATCTCCACCCCAATGCCCGAGAGCCCGGCTGAAACAATGAGGCGTCGAGCCTAGTATAGCGGTCATGTTATTCCTAAAAGGGTAACAAGCGGTTTTTGTAATACTGTAATCTAGTTATAGCGAGTACATCGAGGCAGTTGGTTGAACCACCTAAGAACAAGACGGTATATGAGTGAGGCATACTCTCAGTATTACTTCTGAGGTTCGCACTGGAGAGTTTACACTCAGTACGATTGGACTATCGAGACTACATTTTCAGGGCTTCCCAGCCAGAAAAAAACTCATGTTTACATGTGCTACAATATAAGCGTACAAATGGAGACATCAGGAGTGTTAGGTGGAGATGGAACCATCAAAAGAAATATGTATCTGGGAAGCTCTGCGGTCAGAGCCCAAAGAACTCTTTAAATTGTGTCTACGCGTCATAGGAAGCGGCAGTATAATTGAGCAGTGAGTATATTGGCCAATAATAATGCGATATTTAGTAACTAAACACGCTAAAAAACTACGCTACAATGATACGATGCTCATACGAGCAACCGTAGGATTCAGGGGTCTATCACCCACAATTTCTTCCAATGATAGTCTCTCCATGACTTGTGACTTGCGGAGCACCCTGCACACCGTATCCACACAACTAACTGTACAGCAGAGAATACAGTTCACCATAGATCCTGCCCTAGAGTTCTGCTGTACAGCGCTGTACCTAGAGCATACCAACTCATGACAGCAAAGTCTGCTGGTCGTGAGCGTTCGAGCCCGGCCAGAACAGGAATAACTGGTGAAGGAAAATATGAAAAGAGAAAGCAACAAAACAGGGATTTTCAGTATCGATTCAGTTTGTGGTTACCTCCCTGCACAGTCCCGATTGCCATCTTTCGCCGACCAGCACAACCAGTCCCAGCCTCTATCCTCTGGGCCAAGGGAATGTCTTGTCTGGTATTCCAGGAAATTTGCAAGTGGTGCCTACGGCCGTGGAAGATACTTCTATTACAGCGAACGTGTCGAAGAGTGCAGGCTATTTGGACGATACGGGTATTCCCTACCTTATGTGGCCCATTCGTCCTCAGCAAGCTCGGCAGCCAATGGTTGGATATCTGTAGATGATTTGCCTGCTCTCTTTCTAACCCACCTACTTACCAAAAGTATATCCAGTCATCTACATTTTCCAAGTTGAGAAGCGAAATATATACGCTGTTTGGTCACATAAAATGTTCTCGCTTGGAAGGAACCGGCGGAAATAGCATGAATAGGAAGGTCGACCTGATGGTAGGAGAACTCCAAGAGGTTTACAGAGTGGGAGTTGTTCTTGATCTTTTCGAGCATGATCCAAAACTACAGTACTACTTGGAAGCTGCAAGGAAACGGTTCCGAAAACTGACAAAAGAGCATGGAGATAAGGAGAGACACTGTTGGTAGTCGTGAGAGCGATTGTGAAATGAGTGATGGTAGTGGTTGTTGTGATGGAAATGACCCGAAATAAACTTTTTTTTTCCAACGCCCTTTCCGATATATTAGTATATCAATATATGAAAAAGGCCTTTATACTCCGCTGTAACAGGTAACTAGTCAGGAAATGGTTGCTACAGCGCTTTCACCTCGGGCCTGAGCCGTACATGCCTGAGGTGTCCGCCACCTCACATGACTCCAAGTATTTGGAAAGCATGCACGGACAGTGATTGGCTGAAACGGAATCTAAATAAATCCGGATCCGAATCCCCAAACCACTTCCTTGCTCTCTTTGTAGTATCATTTTTGGTCCGCTCTACGTCAGCTGGCGTATGCCTTGGTCCAATGCATCTTTTCCTGCCTGGTCTTGATGAAAGTAGGTTTTACAATATTGTCATTTTTAGAGCAGAAGTAACACTGCAAACTTCTCACCTACCAAAGCCGTTGAGTCATCACTACTAAGATTCCGATGTCCTCAACGTCAAGACGACTACTAATACAGCAGCCATGAATCGTCCAATTACCTCCTGCCTCACCTGTCGCCGTCGCAAAGTTCGATGTGACCGTCTGACGCCGGTATGCTCGGCCTGCCAAAAAGGCCATTATAACTGCGCCTACCAGTCATCCGGTTCCCCGCAGAGGAGGTCGTTTTCTCCTTCATCCATCACCAGAACCGTTCGAAGTCGACGAACTGTTAAAAAGACTAGGTCCGCAGAAAGGTCGTTAGACGGACTGCAAGCTCCCTCTATCTACCAAAGAACTACTCCATTGGAATCATGTGCGAATTCCCCTCGTTCTGAGTCTGCTCCGGTTGAAGAAAAGAAGGATCACAGCCAGTCAAATGGCGTGCTCATCCTTGATGAAGAGTGTTCTCGTCTTGTATCACCCTTGCATTGGGCATCAGTCAAAGAAGTCAGTGGATCTGGACAACTGGGTAGTGCCATTAACCAATCAGGGAATGGGCAAGCGCCTGACCTCAAGGATGTGGTAATGGACCGCACAAAGTCAACAGACCTGACAGCTCTTAGTCACCAGTATTATGGTGGCTGCAAGCATCCTTTGCCATACAACGTGCATCCTCCTCACTCGTCATTTATGGGTCTACTGTTGGGCTCAGGGTTAAATGACAACCAGATTGCGCTTTATTACCCAGAAACTTTAGCTGATTGCCAATTTTTCCTGGACACTTTTACCAAGAAAGTTGAACCAATAATTCATCTCGTGCACCATCCAACCCTACAGCAGCATTTTCAAACATATTTATCAAGCTTGGAAATTTATGCGTCGCCGGCATTCAAAGACCTCTATGGATTGGAGAGGCCCAGTCACTTCGAGCCCCTGGCATTTGGGATCTTTTTTTCGGCCGTTTATAGTATGGATCCGACAGCAGTGGAAATCAGATTTGGTACATCCAAGTCGGGTCTACTGCGGAGATTCCAAAATGGTATTGAGCTAGCACTAGAAAAGCAGGATTTGCTCTCCAGTCCGGCTATTCCAGTTCTCCAAGCCTTTGTCCTTTTCCTGGTATGTCCAGATATCTTTCGTGTTTACCACGGATTCAATTAAAAATTTTCTTTCCCAGACATGTTTGTGCCGTGATGATGATATTCAACGTGTGTGGGCGCTGGTTGGATTGGCCATCCGGATTGCACAGTCTCTGGGTCTCCATCAAGAGCCAACTCTGTACCCATCAAAAAAGATGGATGCCATCCAAGTTGAAGTCCGACGGAGACTCTGGCATCAGATATTCTATCTTGATTTTCGCACTGCTTCGTCCCAAGGATTGCCGCCTTTTATAACAGCTAATTCTTTTACCACAAGGCTACCATCTAATGTGAATGATGAAGACCTGGTTCCAGGGCAGGCCCCATTGCCGGACCAATATGACCCGGGGCAGTTCACTGATATGACTATGCAACTGGTTCGTCTCAACGGAATCCATTGCATGCAGCAATTGCTCCACAAAATATCTCTGAGACAGTCGCCTGACATCAGAAGTTCTCACTTGGAATCTTTTGCCAGTCACGGCTCCGTTTCCCAGCCAGAGGCTGATGAAGAGCAAGAGATGCGGATTCTAATTGAGACAACACTGGAGAAGAACCAAATGTTGTATCTCTGTCACTGTGATTCTAGTATTCCTCTCCATCGTTGTGTCTTGAATCTCGCCAATCACATCAAATGGAAGTTTTGGATTATTTTTTACTACCAATTCTCAAACGGAAATTACTGTCTGTTACCTCCGGTGTTGAAAACTTTGTAGGTGGCTATTTTGTCTGGTCCGAGCTTTGTATGGTTTGCAAGTCTGGAGGCTAATAGAAATTTACAGGATCTTCTCCCAATCTCTCAATCTGCTGGAATCATACATCCGAATGAGACATGATCAAGGATTTGATTCCTTTCACTGGATCCTTGACTCACATTCAGGACTCCATGCCACTTCCTACATCATATGTCAACTTCAGAATTCCGAATCTCAGCCAGATCCAGAGCTATTGCGGCGGGGAAGGCAGACGCTTCGAGCTATGCGGGGTCTTCACGCCAATAGTGATAGCAGAGTGTGGTCATTCTTAAAGAATAAAATTGACCACGTTTTGTCCCCGGCGCCTGACCAGACCGAAGTTTCTGATTTGCCCGACTTGCCCGACCCCGGGGGCTTCGACCCTTCATTCATGATGGCGGATATGGATTTTTCTAGAATTGATGACTGGCTGACACACCCAGAGGATATTACCTGAATTGAGACTTTGGTCGACCCGAGAGGGTGTGCTAGCCGAAGCAATATTTTTGTGCGTGTTTCTTACATCCTGTACTTTTCATCCTGTGAGATGAGGCAGCGAATTTGGTATATTAGCAGAAAGCAACAGCCATGGGGATGTGAAGACTCGTCGTATTTGTTCATTCCTGCATGCTACGCGCAGGAAAATCACGTCTAAGAACGATAACGGAAACAAGACAGAGGGTGTCCGTAAACAAACCAGTGAGATCTGACCACGTAGTTATCCTGATTGCTGAATAACCCCAATGACCAATAACTAGACGTTCCTTCCCCAACAACAACAACAACAACAACAACAACAACAACAAAAAAGGGGGTAGGCAATCATTGACTGGCTATCACCAGTGACTTCACGGAGCAACATGTGTGGGACGTCATAAAGGAGTGTTCTGATTGACCTATGTGGCTAGCTACGCGGAGAGGCCTGGCAGACGGGCTCGTCATAGAGGTTGGATACTCGACAGGTATCAATCCATTAAGGTTGCCGACACGGGAAAATTCAAATACGCAAAAGTAATAATGACCAGAATGGGAATTAAAGGTGAGTGATTGTACGCAGCTAGCTATTTGGTAAAGATAATTAGGCAGCCGTAGCTGACTCGTGTCATTGATTTCACATCAGTTTCCTGAGTGGTGCAGCAATAGGTAATGTGTCTCTCGCCTCAGAAACCATTTTTGCAATGCGTCCCTTGGTCTCGGTAAAAGCATGTTGCCAACCAAACATGTGCAGAGAAGCACCTGCTGTCCCCATCTCGTCTGCCTCGTTATTTGAATCGGACCATTTTCGAGCCAGCTCGGGGAAGAAATGGTCCATGTGCTCCGCCACTACTGCATGCTCATGGAGTGCATTGCCATCCTCTCCATTTTGACCATTCAAATCAAAGGCGTAGTGTCTGTGTTGGGCAAAAAAGGACAGGGCAAGCCGATCATGGTCATGGGCTAGGAACTTCAGAACGTGCTCCTCGTTGTGGTGGCAATCTGGTTTATCATGTCGCTGGCTGGTTGTGTTTGCCCTCATATAGTCTTCGTCGGAACCATCGATGCTGTTCCCCATGACAATAATATGTGGCATGTTCTGTTCAGGATGATTCAAGAGCCAGTCTTTACTGATCCGCTCAATCTTCCAGCTGACCTGGTGCTTCAGTGGAAGGCAGTGCTGTGGGCGCCCACTTTCAGAGCCTGCATTTGTGCTTTCGAGTTTCAGCGTGGCAAGGAAGAAGTTGGAATGGTAGCCTTTGTTTATTTAATGTCAGTCTCTGCATGCTTTCTTGTCCCCCGGTCTGTTTTGGGCCTTTGCTTCAATGAAACACTTACCATCATTGCAGAAATGTCGATCAACCAGGATCAGAGAGTCTCCGTACTTGCCCCATCGCTCTCGAATGGCCAGGTACCCCACATATGTTGGGATGCACATTAAATTCTTTGAAGAATTTTGGAGGGTCTGTACCATTAGGCTTTTTGGAATAGTCTATGGTCAGAATGGTTTCTCTATACTGCATCTCTTGAGATTAGATACTTACCTCCCAATGCCAGGAGAGGCCGTGGATTCCTTTGCTATATGACACAGCCAAGCACAACTCAGCTCTGAAATCCAGGTTTGCAAGGCTCTAAACTCCTGATTGATTCGCCGTGGAGCTTTTGAATACTTATAATCACAAACACTCTTCTCCCACACATCATGCACCATAAAATCACCCTCACAGATTGCTGCCTCGGGATGAAGGCGCCCACCCACAGTATGCTTGAACTGGCGGAAAGTCTTGTACTTGGAAAGTACAAAGGAATATACAAGGAACCTGACAAGAATTCTTGTGTCGACTGGGTCCCATGCTGCAGCTGCATCGGTACTGTTGTTGTCCAAGAGTGGCGACACATACGCCTTTGCGCGGGGTTTCTTCTTCTCTGCTGGTTGTCCAACCTGAACAACGGCAACCGAAAATTCGCCTATAGCTCCCAATGACAGTCCCTTTGTACGTTCATAAGAATGCTGGAAACCGAAACCATTTGAGGATGCCTCCAGCAGATTTGGATAGAGACCTTCAGGACAGCCGGGTATCTCCGGCTCACTCCATCCCAAATGGTTCAAGATACCGGTGGGTGTATCTTCCTCGGCCCCAATTCCCAGTTTTTCCGGATGGATGCGGTTGAAGGTCAGTTTAGCAAGCACCTCTCGTCCATTTTCGTGTACCTTCCTCAGCTTCTCGATGTAACTGTCAAGCCACGTTACGTGTCCACTGCCCGCTGCTGCCCATTCTTTGTGTTGTCTTGTCAGGTCAAGTAACATACAAGCTCGCAGCTGACAGGACGTGTCACCAACGTGAGCATCGAATGCCGCGAAACCAACGTTTTCTGCTCCGGGTCCTTCAGCGAAGATAAGACGGCGATAAAGAGACAGAGCGTCGATGGCATCCGATGATGCCCTAACTATGTCCGTGTAAACTGTTCCGTAGGTTCTGCGCATGCGCAGACCTTGGGATGCTGTGGTTGCAGGAAAGAGGAATGAAGTCATGATGAAAACAGGAAAATGTTGTAACTGTTGTTCCGAAGACTTGAATCAACGAAGTTGCCCTGAAGTGAACAGCAACAGACTGCGGCTCCCCTCCTTTCCTCCATTCTGCTAGGTGTTTCCCTTATAGACTACAGGGAGTCGGAAATAAGATTACATTAATGGGGCTATTTGCTCGGAGCCTTTGTTCTTCATAGTAGTCATGCTAGGTCTGTAAGCTTGCATATATTGGTAGTTATTGGCAATATTTTTGAAATAATTCACCAAATCTTACACGAAGAGGATTCCAGTCAGTGGATGCTAAGATTCCCTTGATACTATTTACTCTGTTAGGACTGTTCAGGGAAAGCGTGGCTGTGTGTCACGTGACATAATAATGGTATACGCGCACGCGCAACAAGGTTGACAAATTGGTACTGACAATTAGTAGCATCACCTTCAACATACCCGAAAAAGAAAAAAGAAAAGAAAAGAAAAGATTTCTATGACATTATGTCATTCTTAGGCCTGTACGTACGTGTCTAGACCTGTAAGCTTGCGTCGAGATATATTACAAGTATATGTTTAGGTCCGTAAGCATACATAACTATAGCTCTAGATATAAGCACTAGACCTATAAGCATGCATTACCAGAGCCTCAGCATGTCTCAGCTGAAATACACGCTACCACTACTTTTCCATAAAATTTGCATATGATTTTCAATCGATTTTCAATTGAGTATTAAAAAGCAACCTCCCAGGCGCCCTGGGGAAATGCAGAGTTTGTCAACTATCAACCCGTCGAAGCGAAGCCTATTTGATACTAACTAACTAGTACAATGGAGCCCACTACTTTGAATATGTCATCCGCAATGCCCAATATCCATGCCTGGGACTATCTGGTTGTTACTTCCATTCTTTCTGCATTGCTTGCTCTTTGTGCAAGGTTTCTTACAAATGTGAGTTCTCTTTTTCCATGCTGCATTTCCCCTTTCCACTGTTGTTGTTCTTCCTTGTTTTTATTGTATGGTGAAGATGGTCAATTGACTTGATACTAGGGGTCAAAAGCCTTTACGAATAGCGAAGGCTTCAAAGTCAAAGCTTTTAAGGAAGACACGCGCTTCCAAAGATTCTCTCATGGGTAAGTTCGACTTTTTTTTTTTTGAAGGAAAGCGTCATGGCTAACCGACTCATGGTAGTCCCGAAATTTCCCAAAAGGGAAGTGAAGTATCTGGAAATGACCCGTACCTTGTCAAAAATGGGCGCTTCCAAGAGCTTGTCATCACGCAGCCGGAACAATTGCGGGAGTTCTCTCGGAAAGATGCCAAAGGTATGTGTATTTTCTTTTATTGGTTTTCCTTGGTTGCAAGATGCTGTTTTTCTGATTCTATTCCCAGACCATATGAAACCGAAGAATATGAATCTCGGAGACTGTTTTGGCCGGTAGGTACAGTATTGTCTTTTCTTGTAATGCTTTCCTGACTTTTTGGTATAATATATAAGGCTTCTCGGTAATTCGGTTGGCGTTCAAGGAGGACGGAAATGGGCCATGATGCGTGCCCATTTTAACCCAGGATTCTCCCGCTTGGCCAGCATGGACATGGTACCAACATTCGCTGCAGAGATCAGGCACTGGGTGGCTGACTTGCCCAAATGCTCATCTTGCAACTCACATGCTGCAAACACCTTTTTTCGGAATGCAACTCAGGCTTGCCGGTATTTACCTTTTCGCTTGATTGCGTTGACTGCCTATGGCGAGGCCCTTAATGACGAGGTTAGTTAATGAACTTGTTGCTTCATTGTATAATGTATAATAATACAACCTGCAAAAATTTCGGCTGACCTGAACAAGACATACGAAGAATTACTTCATCTGAACGACCTTCACGATACTTTGATGTTTGATGCCTTCTTTGGAAAATGGACAGTCTCCAAACTTTTCAATATTCTCCCAACAGAGTCTAGGAAACGAATGCAGACATTCCAAAAAGGCTGGAAGAAATTGAACCACGATGTCATTGCAAGAGCGAAGGCTGTATGGGCTCCTTTTTGTTTTTATCTTTTTGTTTATTTTTTCTTGCTAATTTCAAAGTAGGAAGGGCTTCGCAGCCCAGCTGAACAGATCTACAAAGGTGTCGAATTGGGTGATATGTCGGAAACCGAGGTTCGTCTCAGGCTCATGCCAATCTTTTTCTTTCTTTCTTAACACCCTCTCTCTATCTAAAACTCCTTATAATTTGTGCTAAAATTTTATATCCCTGTCACAAGTTCCTGCAAACAATGGACGAGTTGCTTTTCACCAATATCGACGTGACATCGACCGTAACTGCTTCTCTCCTCATCAACATCTCCGAAAATCAGCCTTTCCAGGCAGCCCTCCGCGAAGAAATCGCAGCATCGCAGAGCCAAGAATCCTATAATATCAAAGATTACATTGCCAAAAAGGATACGCTTCTTCATTATGCTGTCATGGAATCCATCCGAATGTGTCCTGCACTCTGTAAGTATCGTTATCTGTGCGTATTCATTGGGAAAACTATGGTTGTTAACAATAAACCAAACCGGCTGAACAACAGGGTTCTCTCTACCTGAAAAGACAGCAATTGACAAGGTAATCGAAGGATATTATGTCCCAGCAGGGACAACGATTATCATTGACTGGAAACGCCTGAACACTACGCCTGCCATTTGGGGTTCTGATAGTGAGCTCTTCCGTCCTGAGCGGTTTGCTAGCATGTCGCCTATGTCGTATCGCTATGCATTTCTCCGCTTTGGATTTGGACGTGAGCGATGTCTGGGCAAGAACATTGCAGAAATTATGCTGAAACTTGTGCTGGTTTCCATTGTGCAACAATATGACATAAAACCAGGTAAAAATGATGGCATTAGGCAGGACAAGTTTACTGTGACATCAGATGGGGAGATTGGGTTTACGCCAATTGTACATGCGTGAAGAAAGAAAAATAGATACAGAACCCTAAGGGCATATAATATTCATGGTACGGCGAAAGAACCCCTTAATCTAGCAAGTCTCATCGTAAAGTCTTTCTTCATTGGAATTTTTCTTAACTTTCTAGAAATTGATCAGCTGCTGGTTGTAGAATAGATCTGGTATAAAGCAATGTGATAAGAAAGAACGATAGTGACCTGTCAGCATTAAGATATCCTACCATAGTTCCAGGCCTAAGGACTTGGATAAATTTAAATACAGGGGTAGAACACCGTGAAAGAAAACCATGCGTAGCTGCAGGAGATCCAGGCATAAAAGAAATGGGCACGGGGAGGTTTTGTAGGCGAAGTTATAAGAGAAAGCATACGCTAAGATTGAACTGGTCTTCAGAATAGTTATAGGATGAAGTTGAGGTCCCATTACAAGGAGCGCAACACAAACCAACTCTATGTATTATTAATAAATATCTATGAGCATTGTTTAGAAAGCGGAGCCATATTGGTGTGATCAGAGTGGCTCCCCCGCCCCAAAAAAAGTCCAACTGTTATGTACTTATTTTTCACCAGGGATGTCCAAGAACAAATCTCGTACAATCTCGGGGAACATACTCCATAAATGAGACTGATAGAAACAAAAGTAAAGGAGACTGAAGAAACCTTCCGGGATAACCGAGCATTCCAAAAGCAAGATTGGATTGTGTTTGCCCAAACCAACCAGCCCACCAAGGCTGTCTTCCAGCTCAACCCGTCTGATCAATAGTGGATCTCATTTTCTCGCTCCATCGTTCCCTGTTCCTCTTCATGAGGACGACAATGGCCGCGCTGAGCAGGCAGACAAAGAAGGCAATGGTGAAGAGCCAGCCATTCCCAATTGCATTGATTAGTGGCTGTGCAACAATAGCAGCACCACAGCCCATGCTGTTGCGGACAAGATTGGTGACAGCTACACCACTGGTGGTTTTTCGTGGCACAAACTCTGTCATCACAGTCGTGGTCACGCTGGAGATGAGCATGAATCCAAAGCCAAAAAAGAAGTTTGCTATCAACTATATCCTCATATAATCAGCAACGACAACAACAGCAACAACAGACATCCTTCATTTTGCTCAGATTCACTCACCGGCACAAGCCAGAATACATGTTTGTCAGCTGACCAGCCCCACCACAGCAAGGCTGCCGGGTACATGATAGAAGCAACCAAGGCGTTCTCACTGATCCGGTCTTCCGGATGAAAGACAAGCTTTCCATCGCCATCTACCCTCCCTGCCTTGTACGCAGCACGTTTCATGCAATAATCGGTCCACCGGCCGCCAATAATAGCACCTAGGACGGCGCCTAAGGAGCTGGGAACGTATGCAAGTCCCACGATCAGGGTCGACCATTGGTACGGAGGGGAGGAGAAGACGGTTTGAATGGAAATGTTGAGTAAATAGTTGCTGGCAAAAGTGATACTGGTGTAGTACACCGTGATCAGAATGGGCATGAAAGCGAGGAGCTTCACCGACGCCACCGGGCTAACAACAAGCCAGGCAACCTGCTTTGCCTTGCGCGCTGTTTTCGCAAAAACGGACAAGTTGTGCGAGCTCGAGTCCTCGTCCTCCTCCTGTCTGCTCATTTTCAACTTTGATGACGTTTCAGGCAACAGGAAGACCATAGCCACCCAAATCACGAAGCCGTAAATGACAAGGAACCATTGTGTGCTACGCCAGTTCCATTGGATCGTGAGAGCACCGCCGATAATTGGGGCCGCAAGTGGTCCAAGCATGGGGCCCAGTGAGAAAATTCCCACGGCTTTCCCCCTTTCCTGAGGCTCCCACAAATCCGCTATGGTCCCGGCACCAACAGCCTGAACCGATGCGCATGCCCCTCCCGCCAGGAGTCGCATTCCGATAAACATACCCATGCTGGTACTCACAGCACACAGAACATTAAAGACACAAAGCAAGAGAAACGTCAGCAGGTAGACCACGCGTCGGCCATGGTTCTCAGCCATATGCGACCACCACAGTGGGGTGATGCCAACAGCAAGCGCATATAGTGCCACGGACAAGTTGACCACTGTAGGCGACGTGTGGAAGTACTCCGAGATGGGAACAAGAACCGCTGTTTTCTCGCGTTAGACACATGATATCTGGTATGGGGGAAGAAAAAAAAAAAACAAAATTTGGTCCACCACTTACGCAACAGAATGTTGCTGCCCAGTGGCGCAGCCAATGCGGCCAACGCAACAATAATAGTCAACATCCATTTGGTGCGGCGGCTGTAATGCGTAGTGTTTGCAATTGGGGGGATTATAACCAGAGATGACAAAAAGCCGGTTCGTATTGGTACTGGGATGCTTCCATTTGGCTGTTCCTCGTGCGTCTGCTGTTCGACCTCTTGGTTTTCCCTTGCAGCTGCATCCTTTGTGGGAGTTCCATCATCAATTGCAGATGAACGTGAATTTTGAATACCCTTTTCTGTTTCCGACATGACCAGCTACCGTTCCCTGGTACTGTTTAGTGATGGTGTCTAGCAGGAAACTCGACTTAACAAGGGTTATTGAAGCGGTATTTGTTTTCAACTAAAAGAGAGAGAGAGAGAGAAAGATTTTAGAATTTCTGGGTTAATGAGAAGAATGTCAGGCCCCAACTGTATGGACAAACCCATTTATATAAGAAGTAACGCGGGAAATGTTGCGTATGGAAGGCCTCGCACGACGTCGGCCGAGGATGATCGGCCGAGGATGAGATCCATCGGTTTTGGTATGTTGACTTAGTAGAAATTTTAGTATATGTTTTGGCTATTGCCTAGGGGTCGGCACGATGCATTCGCATTTGTAATTTGCAAACCTGTACGAATATTTGTATTCGCACGTCCAATATTCGTACGAATATCAGACCCTTTACCAAACCAGGGACAGCCCCACCCTGCAGCCAATAAAAGAGAGCGTATCACGTGTAGTTTGTTTATCCAGTCGTGTCACGGTTGGAGATAGTACTTCTTGTCTGCATTTATTTTGGTAGTGACAGATTTTATGATGTCTGATGCTGAATTGCAAGCCTCAAACAATGGTGTCTCTGACTGCTCATCCGTTGAGCCACCATCACGTCCTCAACGCTCTCGGAAAATAAATTATCACCTTTTGAATGGTGGAAGCGATGATGAAGTAGATCTTGAAGATTGTATCATAAAAAAAACCACGAATGGGTCCCCCACCAGATCGATCTGAATCAGTTGGCCCAGAAGATTCAGCTAGTCAACTGCGTCCTGATTTACCTACTCCCTCAGAATCCCTTCCGCAAGGAAGCTCCACAAGAAGCCTCTCTAAAGCCCTTCCTTCAGCCATTCAAATCACACAGCAAGTCCCGCACTAAACCACTTAATTAATGGCTTTGGAGTCAATTCAATGCCAGTCCACTTCCAAGTAAACTATGGCGACCCAAGTAAAGCAGTCAGTTGCTGGAGGGTTGAGAGATACAATGCATTCAATGCGGCTGGAAGACAACAGATTTTGCAAGGGCAAACTCTACAACCAACATGAAGTTGCATCTAGCCAAACACAATACTTTTGAAAGACTGTGTGAGGAAGATCTAGATGAGGCATCTGTCACGGGCTCAGAATAGTAGATACTGACGAATTGAATTCCTATCTAGACTATTGTAGCCATCGACGAGAATATCGAATCTGGGGAAAAGAAAAGAAAAGGAAATCTGTCTATGGAAAGGAGGGGTTTCATAGGCGTTCGTTTGACATCACCAATGCCTTTTCTGGTGTGTTAATGTCGTTTGTCTGCGTCAGTTGTTGACGCAGCGTTGGGCCGTCACAGCATCTGGTATGACTGGGAAGCAATCGATTGCTTCCATATGCTTCAGTCCAGAACCGAACATAATGTCAGAGATCTGTTGGGATAGAATATAATTCAATGGATTGTGACAAATGATGTGGCCTTCATAGCCATTGAGTCCCCAGCATTTTAGCAGATATTCAAGGACTTGCCAAATGTTCCTCTTCCCTTCACTTCTTCTCAAACCGTGGTCCGTCGCATTGACTCGGATTTTGATCATTGCCGGGTCCAGTTAAATGCTGAACTAGCACAGACATGCTCAACAATTGCTCTTTCCATGGATGCCTGGACTAGCAAGAATCACAAAGCCATTTTAGGGGTTATCGGCCACTGGCTAACACCAAATTTTGAGTATCAAGAACGTGTCCTGGACTTCAGTGAGCTTGCTGGATCACACAGTGGGGAGAATATGGCTGAACTGCTGCAAAAATTGCTTGCCGAACTCCACATTGAACAAAAGCTGCTTAGCATCACAGCAGACAATGCCTCTAACAATGATACATTTATGTCTGAGCTCTATTTCAACCTCATTGAAAAATATAATCCAGAGAACTCCAGCTCTTCAAAGAATGGACACCTCCGCTTTCAGGGCGTAGATAGCTATATCCGCTGTCTGGCACATGTGCTCAATCTCCTTGTCCGTGATATTCTCTCTGCACTGAAATCAGGAGATCACAGAGTGACCATGGAAGCCTGTAATCTCTTGCAAGAAAATAAGAAAATCGGACAACACTCTGCACTGGCTAGGCTTCGAATAATGACACTCTGGATATCCAGGATGCCTCAGCGACGACAGCAATGGAAGATAATTTGTCAGTCAAATGGGTTGAATGATAAGTTCATTGAGTACGATGTTGAGACCCATTGGAACTCCACCTACCGCATGATCCAGGATGGCCTCCAGGCCAAAGCACAGGTTAAGAAATGGACAGAACATCAAAATGAGTTCCCACAATTTACTCCAGACGATTGGTCGCAGCTGCAACAGGTTGAAATGGTCCTCTCCAAGTTTGATAAGTTTACACAGCTTGTTTCTCGACATCAATCCCAGATCAGCCTAGTGATTCCTGTCTACTATGAGGTGCATGACATGCTGGAGGAAGCAGCTTCTGCGCAGGGAGACTTTTCAGACTTCAGCTCAGACATTGCTTTAGCTGTTTCTGCAGGGTTGAAGAAGTACAAGAAATACTATGAACTTATGGACGCGCAAGATGCATATTACATAGCACACATTTTAGACCCACGTTTCAAAACGCTCTTGCTGAAAAAGGAGCTTGGACAGGTCATGGCAGCAAAGATTATTGGGAGTGTAAAAGAGACTCTGCATGAACAATACACACTGAAGCCCATGCCTGACTTGTCAAAAGTGCCAATTTATCAGGGTGACAAGCGACAGAGTCTTGAAGCTCGTTTCCTGCAGAAACTGCAACCTCAGCAAGCAATCCAGCGTTTAGATATTGACCGCTACTTTGAAGAACCTATAGTGCCAGAATCCAGTCAATGAATCCGCAACAAAAGAAGAAGACTGGTTATTGTCATGGTTGGCGTATACACAGAAATGAGTATCCAAGGATGGCGGCAGCAGCGAGGGACTATCTTGCCATTCCAGCTGCTGAAGCAGCAGTAGAGAGATTATTTAGCCGCGGTAGGGACCTGTTAGTATTGAGGCATCATTCATTGAATGGTGAGAAGATGAGAAAGGTGATGCTGCTAAGAGATATTTATTTTATTAAGATATTATCTTCTAATTATTAGTGGTTGAGATATCATGGTTGTAAAAAGGGCCATTTAGTATGCAATACAGAGGTGCGCCGCTCGCTTGGGTGTGCCGTTCGCTTGTGGATTAGTTAGTTAACTAGCGAGCGGCCACTAACTAACTATAGTTAACGTGATCGGTAAGCGAGTGGTCCATGTAAGCGAGTGGTCCACCTAACGCGAAAACGCGTCTAGAAATTATATCTAATTCTTTAACCACCCACTATGCCACCAATTCGCACACGAGGCTTTAGAAATTCAATAGAGCAAGAGGGTAGGATCTTATTAGCTATCCAGGCTATTAAGAAGCAAGAAATTAGCACTATTTGTGAAGCAGTGCGCCATTTTGAAGTCCTGAAGTCTACTCTCCTCCACTGTCTTAACAGTACTCCTAATCAAGCTGAAACCTGTGCCAACAACTATAAATTAACAGAAATTGAAGAGGAATTGCTTCAAAGATGGATTATCTCACTTGATGATTGCAGAGCAGCACCACAACCTACTACTGTATGAGAAACTGCAAATCTTCTTCTCACAGTGCAGGGAACTACCCCAGTTCAAACAGTCAGTGAAAAATGGGTTTATAACTTTGTGAAAAGGCATCCTGAGCTTTCAACCCAATTCTCAAGGCGCTATAATTATGAGCACATGAAGTGTGAGGACCTGAAGATTATCATGGAGTGGTTTAATTGCATGCAACATACAATATTTCAATATGGTATCAACCTGGATGATATCTACAACTTCAATGAGACTGGATTTGCAATGGGTTTAACAGCTACTGCAAAAGTCATTACAAGGGCTGAATACTACAGTCAGCGCTCACTTTTACAACCTGGAAATTGTGAGTGGGTAACTGCTATTGAGTGTACAAATGCCTCAGGATGGGCCTTGCCTCCATGTGTGATTTTTAAAGGCAAGATCTTTATTGAGGCTTGGTTTGATAACATCCCAGGTGATTGGCTCTTTGAAGTTAGCCCAAATGGATGGACTTCAGATGAAATCGGGCTTCAGTGGCTCCAAAAGCTCTTTATTCCATCAACAATCACTCGTACAAAAGGGAAATATTGGCTTTTGATCCTTGACGGCCATGGTAGTCATTTGACACCAAAATTCGATGAAATTTGCAGTCAAAATGATATTATCCCAATCTGTATGCCAGCACATTCATCACATCTTTTACAGCCACTTGATATTGGCTGTTTTGTGGTGTTAAAGCGATCATATGGTCAGCTTGTTGAAACCAAAATGCGTCTTGGGATCAACCATATTGACAAATTAGACTTCCTTGAGGCCTACCCACATGCACGAATTGAGGCTTACAAACCTGATACTATCAAAAATGGCTTCGCAGCAGCTGGTTTAGTGCCTTTTGACCCTGATCAGGTGCTTTCAAAGCTCAATATTCGTCTTCGTACACCAACCCCCCCTGTGAGTCAGGATAGTGATTGGGAACCAAAAACGCCTTCAAACTATGTGCAATTACAGAAGCAAGCATCCTCAATTAAAGCCTTATTAAGGCAGCGCTCAAAGAGCCCACCCAGTCCGCTTAATTCTGCAATAAATCAAGTTCTTAAAGCATGCCAAATCACTATGCAATCAGCTGCTATTCTTGAGAAAGAAGTAAGTGATTTACGTGCTTTGAACGTGAAGCAGAAGCAAAAGCGTACACGGTCTAAAAGGCAGATACCCCATGAAGGCGGCCTTTCAGTTCAGGAGGCTGTTGAGCTAATTGAGGCCCTGATCGAGGCCCCAATAGCTCCAGCACCCCCCCGGCCAAGACGGCCTTCACCACCTTTACAGCCGCGTACGAGGGCTTTACCGAAGTGCGGTACCTGTGGAAATGAAGGACATAAGAGAAATGCATGTCCAGATAAACCCAGATAGCTTGTTTTGTTAATTAATTGGCGTTTTGGTAGAAATAAATGCATTTAAATACTAGATATGGGGGGTGGGTGGCCCACTCGCTTGTGTGGCCCACTCGCTTGTGAATTACGTTAGTTAGTTAACTACTTCCAGACACCTGAAAAATATGGCTATAAAAAGGTCAAAGTTGGTACTCCGTACAATAGTATTCAATTGTATGTCTAAATAATGCTGACATTAAACCTTGTAGAAGCAGAATGCGTGATAGAAACCTAGAATGTCAGCACAATTCATTCAATATATAAGTACGGCACTTACTGGCTGCTTCCTTCTCCTCCTCCGTCATCAGCAGAGCACCAGTCTCTCGATCCCGCACTCCCATACGTTCGCTGAGTGGTCTCAATTCAGGATCGTTCTGTTCGTCCTTCCAGATGTCCAGGAATGGCTTGCGGTAGGAGAGTTCGAGGTTATAGTCCTCGGTCAGACTGATTGGTTAGCAGTAATCTGTAAGATGGGAAAAAGGGGGCTTACGCTCGAAAAGCTTCCCAGGGCACGACGTATTCCGGAATTCCCTCTACAGCTTCTTCCATGAAATAGGTGTATCTCCATCCAAACGGTGGTCGGAAGACACCATCATCAGGTGCAGGACCAGGGAACCGGACTTGGTAAATACTGTTCCCCCACGCCGGTTTGTTGTCATCCTCTTCGACCTCACCATCTTCAGGGTCCTCTGGTTTCTCCTGCTTGGTTGCTTCGCGTTCCTTGCGCTTCGTGTTGTATCGGGCCACCTGTGTGCTGATGACGTCCGAATTGGGACACACGCCCAAGAACCGACCACCCTTTCTCAGCAACCCGGCGACATTGCGAAGCATCTGGCGTGCTTTTTCTTCGCTCTCGAAAGCGTAGTGGATTGCGAACATCGATGCGACCACGTCGAAGCCACCACCGCCCCATCGTGAGCTCATAACCGAACCTCCCGGGCCTGCATTTGGGTCGATCCCGACCTGCTGGATGATGGGGATATCGCCCAAGTACTCTCCGAAGCAGTCCTTGGGGATAAACTCGCCATGGAACAGTGGGCCGCGACGTCCGCGCGGACCGCGGCCATTTCTCATCGAACTGTAGCGGTCACGGGCTTGCTCGATAGATATATCCGCTGGGTCGAGACCAACATAAAGGTCCACTGGTTGCGGAGCCTGCTGCCATTTGCCCAGATCGCCTCCTTTGCCGCAACCCAAGTCGACCACTAGAAGACGTTTTTCATCCATCGGCATTGGCCCGGTGCCTTCCGCCCAGTCCTTGGCATCATTGTAACGCGAGACAAATTCTTCATCCGGAGAGAACTTCTGAATCAAAGTACTCTTGATCCAGTTATTGAAGCTCCGCAGGCCCTTAATTTTACTCTCCGTCTTCCGCCATTCCTTTCCTCGCTGCGGCACCGTATTATAATGTTGACGAACAACATCTGTCATCCCACGAACATGAGACGTCCGCATAGCATCCTGCTCCTGAGCACGCTCCCGCTCCTCTTGTCTCCGCCGCATCGTCTCACGATCAACAAGCCCCATCCTCGCACCACCACCCGGCCGCTTGCGCTGCCGCGTTTGCGCTTCAGGAGTAGGCGCTCTCGGAGGCGGCGAAGGCGAGCGATCTTTCGGGGTATCACGACTGCGGCCCGAGTTCTCATCTGCATCGCGTCGTGCGTAAGCAGAGGGGGGTGTCCGGCCACGTTTGCGTAGCTTCTGATGCCGTTCTTCGAGACGCTTGCGCTTGGAGACTGGGCGGTCTGATCCTGGTTTTGTGTCCTCTGGTTTTTCTTCACCTAGCTTTCTCTTCTTGTCGCCATTTGGGTCGGATGGGCTGGCGAAGAAGTCCGTGGCTTCGGAGGCCGGTCTAGTGGCGTCGGGGCTGTCCATTGCTTTGGTAGCTGGGCGTTTTCCTTTCTTCTTAGTAGGCTTAGTGGTCTGAGTGGTCTCTTTATCGGGTTCCGGGGCTCCTGTCTGTTCCGTAGAGAGGTGACGGTGTGGTGGTTCTTCTGGCGCGGCAGTAGAAATTTCTTGCGCAGTTGGTTGCACGGACGACTCTGTATCATGGGAAGACTATATCACCCAGAGACTAATCAGTAAAAGAATTGACCTCAATCAAGCCAACAAAAGGACGAACAACGAATCGCAGAAACCAGTTTCACTAGCTAGCCTCGGAAAATACCCACACCAGCTACTAGCGCACTCGGAACAACCACGCAGCACAAGACAAACAAGCGGAAAAAAGATATGTACACACCGGACCAGGACCAGGAATAGGAACAGCATGCACCGGAGAAACAGGACGGGGAGCTTGCGCTGGCGCTGGCGGCGAGTGCGACTGGGCCTGATGGTCCGCACTGCGGCGCTGAGGCCAAGAGCCCGCGTCGGCGTCGCGGTCAGCCCAGGCGTCGCGGGCGGGATCGTACATGGCGCCTCCTGACACTCGCCGGCCGTCGCTCATGTTGTGGTTTAGAGGGTTTATATGGGGAGTATGAGGGTGATGAGAAGAGATGGCTCGCTCATTGTGAAGACAAAGCTCATTCACTGACGGCTCCCTTCCCTGGATTCCTTGGTTGAGACCAGCGCTTTCCGTCGTTCCCCTTACCGCATTCGGAAGAGATTCACTACAGTGAAGATTGAAGAGTATACAAAGAATCATATACAGAGTTGGATGAAATTTATGGAGAGAATCGATAGAGGTTACAGCAGGGGTGTGGAGAAGTCACCAGAATTGCGATCAAATGCATTAAAATACTTGAATATCTGAAAATCTATGAATGTCAATGGGTATATACATAAGAACCAAATAACATGACCGCGACGCCGTGCTTGTGCCAAAGCAGTAATAACAGGAGAACAACTGATTCAACGCATCTAACGCCCCGGGGTCGACTTCCTAGGAGAATTGACATTCAAGACCTGCCGCATTCGCCGGATCTTAGACCACCACTCTCGATCAGTAGCCTTCTTGGCCTCCTCATCAACCTCTGAATCTACCACTGACCCATCCATCATGGAGGGCGTCTCGGAACCAGCGCGGAGAGTGTCCATCGAGGCAGTCGAACGAATTTGACGACGATGCTTCACTTTCAGTGCCTGGGCCGAGACTTGCCATCCACTGCGCAGTGTCTCTGGTTTATCAGTCGGCTTGCCCGTACCGCTCTGTGCTTGACCGCTGACCCAGGGACAGTATTCCATGTGTTCACTGGCCACTTCCAACGGGTTGTCAATCTCGGCCCCATCCGCCTTTGGCTTGTACATCCAAAGACCAAGCCGCCGAAAACACGCACCACACGCAGCCAGCCCTGCTGTCCCGCCCGAGACAGTATCCCAGCCAAAGAGCGCCAATGCGAGAGCTTCTTTGTTGATCGTGATTTTCTGAGATATCTCTTCCTGAGCTTGAGGGAAGCTCTCTTGATTTTCACCCTCTTCCTTTATCCCCGGCTTGATCGTTTTTGGCTGTGTCGCCTCTGGCTGCTTTTCTGGTTCGGTCGTTTCATTCGGCTTGTCTGGTTCAACAAATCCGGTTGGTAACACGTTGATGACTTCGTCGAGATCAAGCGACTCCGGTGTTTGGATGGCTTCCTCTGGTAGTTTATCCTCCATCTTCACCAAGTTCAAGTACCGTTTTTGTAGACCAGAGATTGCTACGTCAGGATTGGCCAGGGGTAGGCGATGAATTGTAGCTGAATAGGTTAGCATCGATTGAATAATAGAGTGCGCCTGTAAAAACGTACCATCGCAGCCCTTGTTCCTCCACGGGCAGTTTTCACCATGTCCTTCGACCAACCGTTTTGTATATTCCTCTACGAGCCTTGCACCTGCAACCGGTTAGCATCTCCATCGGTTCCCAATTCCGAGCCGAGAGCAACATACGGACGTCCTTTCTTTCCTGCACTTTATCTGCATCATAACCATCCAGTTCATCCAGCTCGTCCGGCAACTTGACAACCACCGAGCCACCACAGCCCCCAACGCACGTCACCCGCGATACATCCGTACAAATCCATCCCCGCTTCGCCCAAGCCACTTCACTAACCGCAGCCGGCTTCGAAGACCAGCGATCCACCCGCCGAAACGTCTCGAGTCGTTCGAGGAAGCGCTCGCGGTCCCAAGGGACGAAGCTTGGTCGCGCTGTCGACGAAACAGAGGATGCTCGCGTGCCGGGTCGGGCAACTTTCAGAATCGAGTTTTTGATGGAGGAGGTAGAGGAGGTGTCATCGTCTTTGCTTAGGCGGATCTTCTTGATCGCATCGCGTGCTGTTGTCGGAGCTCCGGTGGTAGTGGATTCTTTGGCTTGTTGGTCGGGGGCTGAGGGTTTGGTTAGGGACTCGAGGACTCGGTGGAACTTGCGCTTTTTGGTTTCTAGCGCGTAGGACATTCTGCTGGTTGTATAGCTGGATTGGGTAAGGAGGATGGGTGAAGTGAAGTGGTTGTTCTGTTGGTCTGCGGTCTTCGAGATGATGTACCGCGCCATACCCAAAGAGGATAACTATTTCATTTTATGCCTGAGAAACCAGGCAGTATACATCTGGTTAACGTAATCCACTACCGAGCTGCGCAGCTAGCGTAAGACGCGTCAATTAATTAGTTAGACCTTCCTTCTTCAACCACCTACTATGCCACCAATTCGCTCTCAACGCTCTCAAAAATCAATAGAGCAAGAGGGTAGGATCTTACTAGCTATCCAGGCTATTAAAAAACAAGAAATTCGTGCTATTCGCGAAGCAGCGCGCCACTTTAATGTACCTGAATCAACCCTCCGTGCGCGTCTCCGTGGCACTACAATTCGAAGTGAAACACGCGCCAATGGCCATAAATTGACTGAAAACGAAGAGCAATCGCTTGTCCAATGGATATTCTCCCTTGATGACCGTGGAGCAGCGCCTCGGCCCTCTACTGTACGAGAAATGGCGGATCTATTACTCGCAGCACGTGGTGATACCCCAGTTCAAACAGTTGGTGAGAACTGGGTCTCAAAGTTTATAAAAAGGCATTCTGAGCTTTCATCCCGATTCTCGAGGCGCTATAATTACGAGCGCGCAAAATGCGAAGACCCAAAAATCATCAAAGAGTGGTTTGATTGCGTGCAACGTACGATACTTCAATATGGCATCAACCCTGATGATATCTACAACTTTGATGAGACTGGCTTTGCAATGGGTTTAACTGCTACTGCAAAGGTAGTAACAAGGTCTGAATACTATGGTCAGCGATCACTTTTACAACCTGAAAACTGTGAATGGGTTACATCAATTGAATGTACAAATGCCTTGGGGTGGGCCTTGCCTCCATGTATTATTTTCAAAGGCAAGGTCTTTACTGAGTCTTGGTTTGATGGCCTTCCAGGCGATTGGCACTTTGAAGTCAGCCCAAATGGCTGGACATCTGGTGAAATTGGACTTCGGTGGCTTCAAAAGCTATTTATTCCTTCAACATCAAGTCGCATGAAGGGTATATATCGACTTCTAATCCTTGATGGTCATGGGAGCCACCTTACACCTAAATTCGATCAAATTTGTGAAGAAAACAACATTATACCAGTTTGTATGCCACCACACTCATCACACCTTTTGCAACCTCTTGATCTTGGCTGTTTTGCGGTGTTAAAGCGATCATATGGTCAGCTTGTTGAAACCAAAATGCGTCTTCGGACCAACCATATCAACAAGTTAGACTTCCTTGAGGCCTACCCACTCGCACGGATTGAAGCTTTTAGACCTGATACTATCAAAAATAGCTTCACAGCAGCTGGTCTAGTACCATTTGACCCTGAACAAGTGTTTTCAAAGCTCAATATTCGCCTTCGTACGCCAACCCCCCTGACGAGCCGGAGTAGCGAATCAAGCCGCGATTTCACACCAAAAACCCCTCAAACACTTAAGCAACTACATCGGCAAGCTTCATCAATTAAAACACTACTCAAAAAGCGCTCACAAAGCCCACCAAGCCCATCAGATCACGCGCTTAATCAGCTAGTAGAAGGCTGCCAACTTGTGATACAAAGCGTTACAATTTTAGCAAGGGAAAACAATGAATTACGCGCTGCCAATGAGAAGCAGAAGCAAAAGTGTGCACGGTCTAAAAAGCAGATACCTTGCAACAATGGCCTCTCAGTTTCAGAGGCTCATGGGCTAACTGAGGCCCCAATAGAGGCCCTGGTAGCTCCAGCACCCCCCCAGCCAAGACAGCCTTCGCCACCTTCGCAGCCGCGTATGAGGGCCTTACCGAAGTGCGGTGCCTGTGGAAATGAAGGGCATAAAAGAAATTCATGTTCATATAGACTTAATTAGGTAGTTTTCTTAATTTAATGGCGTTTTGGTTGAGATAATTGCATTTAAATACTATACATAGGGAGCGGGTGTCCAGCTCACTGAATACGTTAGTTAACTAACTAGCAATAACCAAATGGCAAACAAGGGCGATTGGTGTCGATATTACATCTAAGACCGGCATATACGTCGAAGGATAACTGGTCAAAAGACCGTTATCTTACCCCCCAAGTTTCTCCAGCTATCAAGAAGTTTGGCATCTCCAGTCTAGGACGCTTATGTATTAGCTAACAGTGAGGAAGGCTTCCTCAAAAATGCTAAGGGTTCTCAATCCCTTTCGCTTCCGTATACCCCAATCACTTCCGAAATCACGAAAATTTACACCACGCCCCGCGATGTCGATGGCAAAATCTTGCATTCGAGAGGTAGCCAACTTGGTGTCCCTTATCTCGGCATGGTCAAGGGACTAAACCGCAATAGCCAACTTGACTTTGTCCACGGGCTGACATACAAGAGCCGCCTTATGTTGGCTTTCCCGGTTTTTGTGAAAGAGATCACAGACTCCCAGTGAGTCTTCTTTATCGTGGACACGGGATTACCCAAGACATACCTAAGCCCCGAGGTTAGCACTAAGCCTTCAATATACCCGATGAGATGCCAATATACGTCTACATCGCAGGTATTTGGTCTGTACCGGTTACCAGTTCGCCAACATCAATCTCCTGGGACTTGATTACTACGAGTTTGTTGCGAAAGAGGGAACGAGTAAATAGGCCGAACGCTTCATCTAGAATCCATGGTGGAACATACTCGGATACGTCGCACTTTTCAGGCATCAGCCTGCTTGGCCTTGACTATTACAATGCTTTTTTCGGTTCTGACAAGGTCAAGTTTGTGTTCGGCGAGCATCAAGTGAGGCGAAGGAAGCTAGGAACACCGTATTATCAGGTTAAGACATATTTGTCTTACGCATCTTATGTTTATCAACACTTGCATGGTGTTCGAGGAAACACGCGATCTCCAAGCGGCTTTGACTATTGTTTTATACAACTACGTCCGTTCAGCCGTACTTATCAGCTGGGAAGAGTTTGTGCAGGCCTGCGAAAATTGGTGATTTTTAATAATGGCATTATTTATTTCTCCCTTGGACAGTTCGCTCCTCATGCGTATGCTCGCCGTGTAGTTAGTATAGCACCGCCGCCATAGTTACCCAACCCGGCAATTTATATGTATGCCTTAGGAATCAGGCATGCTGCAACGGCCATAGTTAACTAACTAATCACAAGTCTTCTCTACAGAGTACTTCCACAGTCAATTCTAGATCAATTGAACCAAGGCCTAGCCTCTTCTATCTAGCATAATGATAGCCTAATAAATTGCTATAGTAGACAAATATACACCCTCTGATTGGCCCTCGGCGTCTCGGCCTCCGACTCCGCGATTCTTCGCGGTTTTCAATAAATCATGCCATTTATTTGTATTCCTCCCACCTAGGATATTCTCAGGAATCAACAATCATGGCTTCCTTGGGGAGCTCAGCATCCTGGGCCCGGGGTTTCGCCCCCCGGTTATTCAAGGATTTCTCCACCTGCCGCCAATGCCTACGGACTCAGAACTATGCGACCAAATCCGCCTTTCGCAGACAGTTCGCCGGCCTGTCGTTCGCTCAGTCTGGCCAGAGAGCCAATCCTACGATCCTGAACTCGAAGGCTAGACAATTTTTGTCGCAGAATATGAGGAGATCGGTTTCATCGTCTACGGTTGCCAACTCTGCGGAGGAAGGAGCGACAAAAGCGAAGTCGAGCTTTCCACAGGTTAGCGATAAATCGGTTGCGTACTGGCTGCTGGGTAGTGCGGTCAGTGTGTTTGGTATTGTGGTCTTTGGTGGCTTGACTCGATTGACGGAATCAGGGTGCGTACTTGCATGGAGGACTGGGTACGAGCATGGACATGGCTAATCGAATCGTGCTACAGGTTAAGCATCACAGAATGGCGTCCTGTTACCGGCTCTCTCCCTCCCATGAACGACAAAGACTGGGAATCCGAGTTCTCGAAATACCGCGAATCCCCCGAATTCAAGCTCCTGAACCCGCACATGACCCTCTCCGAATTCAAGTCGATCTACTACATGGAATGGATCCACCGCGTCTGGGGCCGCTTCGTCGGTTTATCGTTTATCTTTCCCGCTCTCTACTTCGTCGCCAGAAAGAAAGTCAGCAAGCCCATGGCACTGCGCCTCGCTGGAATTACCGGTTTGATTGGATTCCAAGGCTTCATTGGCTGGTGGATGGTCAAGTCGGGCTTGAAGGATGATCTGTTTGCTCCCGGTAGTCACCCTCGTGTGAGCCAGTACCGTTTGACGGCACACTTGGGTGCTGCCTTCGTTTGCTATGTTACTATGCTCTGGAATGGTCTTGCGATTCTGCGATCTCGTCGGCTCATGGCGGATCCGGAGGCTGGAATCAAAACGCTCGAGGCACTCCGTGACCCCCGGCTCAAGCTGTTCCGTCGCTCGGTTGCTGGTCTGGCTCTTCTGGTCTTCACCACGGTTATCTCTGGTGCACTCGTTGCTGGTCTCGACGCTGGTCTAATCTACAACGAATTCCCGTACATGGGCAATGGCTTCGCTCCCCCCAAGTCCGAGCTGTTCGATCAACGATACTCCCGCCACGAAGACGGATCCGACCTCTGGTGGAGAAACATGCTCGAGAACCCCTCGCTCGTCCAGCTCGACCACCGCATCCTGGCAACCACCACCTTCACCACCATCATGGCCCTGTGGGCATACTCCCGCAAATCCCCCACGATGAAGAAACTCCTCCCACCAGCCGCGAGAAAGGGCGTGCACGGCGTCGTTGCGTTTGCCGTTATGCAGGTTGGTCTCGGTATCTCGACTTTGCTCTACCTCGTTCCTATTCCTCTTGCTTCGGCGCACCAGGCTGGTAGCTTGTTCCTGTTGACTTGGGTTATGGTGCTGGGGAGCCGGGTCTGGCACCCGTCGAGGACTGCGAAGTTGTTGCAGATGGCTGTCAAGGCTCGTGGTCAGCAGGTTTCGCAGGCGGCTACCCATGCGGCTAAGAAGTTATAGTCAGTCGCCCGTCTGCCTCGTTCTCGTTATTTGTCACGAAAAGATATGGGTGAGTATATGTCTGTATATTAACTAGTACCTCTCTTCTTGTAAAATATGATTCTTTCAAACTTGTTATTCGTTACTCTATTTACAGTCATGAATCATTGTGGCCCTGAGACGATCATCCAAAAATTGCAATAACCCCGAGACCAACGAAGGAAAATAGGAAACATCCACCCATCCCTATCCCTCACAACAAACCACTCTCAAAACAACCCTACCCTTCCACCATCACCCCCCACAACCCCTTCCCTCTTCATAAACTCCTCCACAGCCCTAGCCGCCTGTTCCTGCGCATATCCATGAATATCGCCAAGTCCATACGCCTGATAGTACCACATCCTCGCCGGGTCCTTCTCTCGCTTCTCCTGTATCCACGCCCCGTGCGCCTCGAGGCTGAAGGCGTACAAGTTCCTGGCTCCTGCTAGGTCCTTGTCCGTCCCGACTTCGGCCTCGTCGGTGTCGGTGTTAGCGGTGAAGGTGGACGGTGAGAAGGCCTCGTCGTCGAGAAGAGGAGCAATAGCAGACTGGCGGCCGTTAGAGTTAGTGGAAGGGAAAGGAGGGGGAGAGACGGCGGCGTCGGGGCTGGGACTGGCGCTGGGACTGGCGCTGGGACTGGCAGTGCAAGCCCTACGAGTACCCTGTCCCTGTTCCCTCTGGGTCGGGGGCTGGGTGCGAGGTGTCTGTGCTTGCTCCCGTCCGCGTCCGCGTCTTGCCGGGCCCTTCTGGGTCTTCTGGACTTTGCTGCTACCTTTTCCCTTCTTCTTTTTGCCCTTAGGCGAGTTATTCGACTCGACAAGCTCGTTCTGGTCAATCGGGCCAGTGTGCACACGACTTCCAGCATTATGCGTCCTGGTACAGCCATTCTTAATAGTACAGGCATGGCAGGATTGCCAGCCGCAGGATGAGCACCGGGACATGCCCGAGTCGTTTCTGGTGTTGCACAGGTCGCACTTTGCGGTGTGGGCTGTGACCGGTTCGAATTGTGTTCTGGTCAGGGAGGCCTGGATCGGGGCGGTCGTGGTAGACGCAGCGGGAGGAGGAGTCGCAGGAGGAACAGCGGAAAAGCGAGAACCAGGGTTTCCGGGCATGTTGGAATACTGAAGCTCAGTGTTCCTCATTGGGAAAGACTCGCTGCCACTTGAGTATTCGATGGGAGAAGCTTCGTTATCGTGTGCTCTCTTGTCCGCACAAACAAACGGTCTATCAGGTGAGCCCTTGGTTGTTTGTAGCGGCAGCTATTCCATCTCAACGTCAGCACGGCCACAACAACCTCTTCAATATCAACAGGGAAGAAACTAACATTTTCAAGCAACTGAGGCGCTGGATACAAAGAAGAACGAGGACCAGGAGGAGCAGGGGCAGGCAAGAAACGAAAGTTCCTAAAGCAGTTCCCCTGGTGACTATTTGTTTGGCTCACCATCGTTGATCAGATAGTATTCACTACCATCGATGGGGTGCCGATTAGTCCAGTCTCAAGAGGGTAGGGGACCGGAGATATCGCTGTTAGGGGGGTATATGGAGGTAAGTCCGTGATGCAATAGGATAGTGGATAGTAAAAGAAGGAAAGGGAGGAGTAGAGGAAAGGAAATGCCATCTTTTATAGCTGGATGCTGAGGATCCAACCAGCGGAAACAAAAGCACTCAGGGAGTTTCCCTTCTTCATTCCGTTGGAACCTAAGGGCTAAATGAACTTTGTTGTCTATTGTCTAAGTCGGTATACAAAGTACTTTATTTTGCTTACTGTCTTCTTGTTTAGACAAGTGATGAGAGATCCTAGGTGAAACATGTCGCTGAGGTATGGGCATGGGGACGGTTCTCTTAATTGGATAAAGAAAGCATCGTACAATGGATTGAATGGTACTCTCTCTGTCTTCTTTCTGTCTTATTGTTGGGAAATGATAATGGGCTGGATGCTTGAATATTATTGAAGGGTATTCCAATTTCAAAAGGTAAGCTAAAGGTTTTTTATTCCCCTAATGCATCTATTCATTGCCATCCTAACGTAAACCCATAATAAACAGTCATCAAAAGCATTCAACATCCTTCGTCCAGTTTCGTAGAATCTATTTGTGGGCTATATCTTGTTAGTTCATAGAAAACAATCAAAGCGTACAGTGAAACTTACCAATGCCCTCTTCCGGCTTGGGCTCAATACCAACAACCTCAGCAGCGGTCTTGGTGTCCTGGGCGGTCTTGTCCTCCTTCATGAAGGGGAAAGCAAGAACCTCCTTGATACTGTAGTTGTTGGTAAGGAACATGACCAACCGGTCAATACCCATACCCCATCCACCGGTCGGCGGCAGACCATACTCCAGGGAAGTACAGAAGTTCTCGTCGACGAGCTGGGCCTCCTCGTCACCCTGGTCCTTCTGGCGGGCCTGCTCCTCGAAGCGCAGACGCTGGTCGAAGGGGTCGTTCAACTCGGTGTAGGCGTTGACAATCTCCTTCTTGCAGACGAAGGCCTCGAAACGCTCGCACAGACCGGTGTGCTGGCGGTGGTACTTGGCCAGCGGCGACATCATCTGCGGGTGGCCGGTGATGAAGGTGGGGTTGACGCAGGTCTCTTCGATGAACTCGCCGACGAGTTTGTCGAGCATACGGGCGTTGGTGAGCGGTGGCGAGCAGTCGACACCGGTCTTCTTCAGGACGCGCTTGAGGAACTCGTTGGTCTCGGTGGTGTGCAGCTGGTCGCCTGACGGGAACTTCTCGCCGGTGGCCTCTTCGAGGGCGGGGATCATCTCCACACGCCTCCAGGGCGCCTTCCAGTTGACGTTGTAGGTCTCGCCGGTCTGGGTGTGGAAGGTAGTCTCGTAGCCGCCGGTGACGTGCTTCACGAGACCGGAAACGAGGTCTTCGGTGGTGTTCATGAGGTCGAACGCATCAGCGTAGGCCTGGTAGAACTCGCAGGTGGTGAACTCGGGGTTGTGGGTAAGGTCAATGCCTTCGTTACGGAACTGGCGACCCATTTCGTACACACGCTCAAGACCACCGACGATCAGCATCTTAAGGTACAGCTCAGGAGCAATACGCATGAACAGGTTCATGTCGAGCTCGTTGTGGTGAGTAACGAAGGGTTTGGCAGTCGCACCACCAGCAATGGCGTTCATCATGGGAGTTTCCACCTCAATGAAGTCGCGGGTGTCGAAGTAGTTGCGGATGTAGCTAACAATCTTGGACCGGGTAACGAAAACATTGCGCGAGCGGTCGTTCATGATCAAGTCGAGGTAACGCTGGCGGAAACGCTGTTCCTTGTCCTGCAGACCGTAGTGCTCGGACGGAATGGCGTGCAAGCAAGGCGACAGAAGGACGACCTCAGTCGCGAAAATCGAAAGCTCACCATCGGCCCTGTTCTTGGGGCTAGTCCGACCGGGGAATCCAACAATACCGACAATGTCACCTCTCCGGAGGTGCTCGTGCTGCTGCTCAAACGGGACCTCGCCAGTGGCATGCTGACCCTGGCACACAACTTGCACCTTGACACCCTCCGCGCGAATGTCGTAGAAGTTCAGCTTGGCGCCCGAGCTACGCTTGGTATAGATTCTACCGGCGATGCGAACGGTGGTTTCGGGCTTCTGGTCGCCCTTCTCGAGACCCTCGTAGTTCTTGAGGAACTGGCGCAGGTCATCGGTGACGTTGAATTTGTGAGGGTAGGGGTCGGGGTGCTTGGTTTCGCGGAGCTTGTTGATTCTCTTGCTGCGGATTTCGAAGTATTGCTATAGCGAAAATGCCTTTATTAGCTAAAATTTAGGGAGAAACCGATCCCGCTACACAAAACAAAAACACTCACGTTAGGAGTCAAGTTAGCCTCCTCCTCCTCAGCGGAGGCCTTCTTCTGAGTCTTAGGAGGAGCAGCAGCCTCCTTCTCCTTCTTCTTGGCCTCCTTCTCGCGCAGCTTCTGGCGCTTCTTCAGCTCGGTCTTGGAGACCTTCTCGCCAGTGACCTCGTCGAGCAAGAGGTTGGCCATGGAGGCCTCGGCGTCCTTAACTCCGTTGTCCGTCATGATTAATTAGAATTTATTTCGCGAAACAAAAGAAGGAAACGGGAAAATTGAGACGGAGGAGGGGTTTTGGTGGGAGGGACGATGGCAGGTTGATTTTTGGGTCTGAGTCAGGATCCGCGGCTGTTATTGGTCGGTGGAATTTTTCTGGGATTTACTATGGTACGCTGGCTATGGTTATGGCTACGGTTATGCTACGGAACTGATATCAGGCGTTTTTACTTGTTTTTCGGTTTTTGAAGCCATGCGCAGCTTAATTGGGATCTCTCTGTTGTTCTCGATATGCAATTGCTGCCAATATTTACAGATTGGGTAATGGGGCTTAGGGCATAGGGCAGCTAGGTGGGGTTGACCCCGCCTTGCCGCTTTCGGTCTATACAGAGGTAGAGAAGTAGAGTATGTTGGATTACCACTTCCAAGTTGCACCAGTAGATTTTCAATTGACAACAAGGTTCCTCTTTGACAATCGCATAGCCATAACAATCCCCACCCAAGACGAAGCTTCCACGCCAAAGGCGAACGACTGTCCACCGTATCAGATCTCAACAAGCCTCCAACAAACATGCCATCGAACAAAACCCAAACGTCGTAAAGCATCACATCAAATCAGACTTTCCTATCCAGTAGCAGCGGGAATGATAGGGAGACCGGGCCAATCTTCGGTCTTGATACGAGTTGGAAACGTCGTCTCTGTCTCTCCCATAGGCTCCTCTTCCTTTTTAGCAGTCGATAACCATTCCTGCGCCTTCGATATTTTTTCCTTCTCTCTGAGAAGATACTGGCGACGGCGCTGACGTTCAGGATCCTCGGCCATGAGCTCCATACAACGCTCGACGGCTGTGACATATGTTAGCGTTGATTGCCATATAGCGGACATCAAAGGGCAGTAAATTTACCATTTTCTTCGTAAATACGAAGCTCCTGTTCAATTACGCCGATCAAATCTTCACGGCATTTAAAGAAAAGCTTGGTGTACACGCTCTGGCAGATTGAATCCACGAAACGAGAGCTCGCAACTTCGTAGTATCCGCGAGTAGTCTAGGATTGTCAGTTCTGTGTACAGTCGAAGCAAAAAGGTGCGAACTTACCGCCATCATCTTAAGCTCCTGCATGAACATGTCGATGCCCAATTCGGCCTCCGTGAGCTTTCTGATCTCGGCATCACGTCGCGGGTCCTCCCGGGGAAGTCTATCCTGCATGTCCAGGTACTTGTGGGCACGTTCCAGATGACGCCGAGAACTGAGGTATGAGTATGCACTCAACCTGGCATGTTCAAGCGCGAATTGGGACATGCTAAAGGGTTTGTGCTTCTCGATGTTGAAATTCTCAAAGGCGTGCTGGAAATGTTCGTTCTTCAGCGTCTGTAGGTAACCGTCGATTATGCGTGTAAGTTCGCGGAAGAGGCTCGTGCGATGGTATTGGGAGAACACGCTTTCAAGCTGTTGAATCAACATGTCTCTAACGAGTCGATGAGTGGCGTTGAGAAACACAGTCATAGGCTTGTGCCAATGTTCCACACTCAACTGATTCATAATTTCGATGGCTTTAGGATCGGTTTGATCCGGGATTCCGGCACGATACGAATCCTCGTTGATTTCCCTAATCCCTTCCCAGGTGAACATCCTAGCCGGACGGTCAAAGGCATCAAAATGGGGTGTAGAATACCCCGTAGTTTTACGTGCAGGAATCTCGTTTGGAGTTTGCGAGCCGGCCTTTTGGGCACCCGAGGCGTCACGCTTCACTGAAGGTTGAACAGTAGTCATCTCACAATCTGAATCGTCTCCCTCACGATTCATTGCCATAACCGTGGAATCAACCGGAGATAGGAGCTGGACTGTCGGCCGGGTCTTGACCAACGCTCTCTTGAAGTCCATTGCTATATGAAGCCAAATCTTTGGGAGAGGATACTGCCCAGAACCGCCCTCAATATGTGCCCGAATCTGCTCCTTAAGGTTGTTGAGTTTTCCACACAGAATGTACGGCACGTTCGTCGACGGTGGGCTGGGAAGCTCCTGCAGTTCAGTTTCAATGCGACTGGCCTTCTCGTCGATTTGCTCAATAATTCGAGGAAGACACCCCTGGATCTGATCCAGAAGAAGGTTAGAGAGAGAAGCCTGGAGACGTCTGGTACCAAATCTATCGCGATATGCCGACAATTCAGTACTCCAAGGACTCGAATCGAAAAACTCAGCTTCCTCCTCACGTGTAACAGCATGCTCGATGGAGGGGTCTTTGTTGTTGCGGACGACGAAGTATCCATGGCCGAGTGAAAATTTGTCGCCCTCGAGGATCTCCATCCATTGAGTATACTCGCCCAGCTGGATCCTGTCGGGTTTTGTCAAGACACCCAAGGTTCTCGACTTTGCTCCGCGGACGTCCCTGATGATGCGAGCCGCACTGGAATTGGTCGCGTCATCCGTCATCGGGAGCGCCAAAAGCACAATGCAATTCTCTTGCGAGATATACTCCTTGACTAGGTTCTCAACGAGAGCGACCAGATATCTTTCCTCGTCGAATTCTGCCTGGTTGATGACACCTGGGAGATCGTAGAAAGAAAGGTTGGGGAAGTCCGGAGCAGAAATGTCCAAACGGACGACATTGGGAGAGAACTTCACCTGGTAGTGCGATCTATCAGTGCCTCCATTCTGCCCGGGTATATAGTCCGCCGGTGGTCTGCCAGGATTGAGGATTGCAAGCTGCGCCCATTTCACCGCTTCTTGAACATCGCCCTTGTCAGAGAGTGTGAGAAAAAGCTCATCTTCCTGATCCTGTTCAATCCAGGGGCCGAGCTGAAACTTTTTCGAGATTTTGATCTTCTGACTGCCATCGAACATGTATTTTCGCGAGATATAAACCTTGCAGGTCCACGGTTGGGAGGGTTCGGAATGCGACAGGTTGATTTCCATCGGGCATCTGGTACAAGTGCCGGCACTGCGAGGGACTTTGATCTCGCTCATTCCCTCGATCAGCGAGCTCTTGCCGGTGCTTTGATCTCCAACGACACAGATCTTCGGGAGCGCAATCTTGTTGTCCTCTATTCCCAGGTGACGAAGGTCTTGGATCTTTTTAACCAAAGTTCTCATATCCTGGGATATGAGGTTGATCGAATCCTCAGCGGCGGGTAGACTCGAGGGGCTGGGGCGTTGCATCGTGGCTGTTCAAGGTGAGTTGTCTGCTTGATTCCAAGTTAGAAGAGATACGCTTACCGGTCGAGGCGAGACTGTCTTTTTCTTGGGGTATGTGTTTCGCCTCCGGGGTAAAAAACCTCATGACAATCGAGTATCCAACACAAGTTCTCGATACAAGCTGGCAGACCAGACAACTCAGGGTGTTGGGGAGGGAATGGAAAGCACTGAGAGTATCAAGGATGAAGAGGGGTAACCATCGAGAGAAGAAGAGTGAAAGAGAAAGGCGAAGGTAGAAGAGAGCGCATGCCCCTCTGAAGTGAAAGAAAAGGTTGGCCCTGCGGTTCAAGCTCCCAGTGAATGGCAAACACCAGCCAGCAACACGTAATTCTCGTTTCCATAGGAGCAGTCGACAGAGACGAGCAGTCCCTCTTAGCAATTCAGCTAAACCATTGTTATGGCATATCGCTTGGGTACGCCTTCACCGTCCGCATCCAGCGTCCACTGGCTGCAAGCCTAGTATAGTGCGATGCTAGTCGTCAGGCATAGTCATCTTTGGTATATTTTCGATGATTGATCGTCCCTCTATGTAGGTAACTGATTAACCAACCTGAACACCAAATAGCCTCTCCTTGACCCAGCGTCATGATGCCTTACTCTGAACGTCTTTAGCGATATCTTATGATCACCAGTTCTCCAGAATAAAGATGACGATAAAATAGACGGCAAGTGGCACCCAGATCCAACGGTTCACCAACGGGGGCTCCTTCTGTTGGCGGTGGGCCTGGGATTCGGTGATCCGCTTTCGGGTCTCTCAAGCAACTTGGTCAACTTCTCCTGTCAATGAGTTGAGCTGTATAGGGGTGCCAGTATTCCTAGCAGTATCTTTATACCAATTCACTTTTATTTTATATTTTCTATAAGAAAGATAGACTATATTCTCCAGCCTTCTCCATGCTTCAAGTTCCAGTTCGCGAACACACCAACCTGGCCTCGACCAAGGCCGTGATCTTGGTATGGATCATGCAGACACATGCTGTCCTCATTCTTGCTTTAGCAAATGCTGACAGAATACTCATGCATAGGTCGGGGGCCCATCCAGAGGAACCCGGTTTAGGCCATTGTCTCTCGACGTGCCCAAGGTTGGTGATAGTCATGCCCCTCCCCCTCTGTTTTGAGTTGCATTGCATCTCCGTCCACGGCGCATACCAATTTTCAACGCACATTTTTGTCGAATCGCGCTGACAAAATGCCATATACTAGCCCCTATTCGAAGTCGCCGGTCATCCCATCCTCCGTCACTGCCTCCAAGCCGTCGCTAAGATCCCCGATATTCGCGAAGTGATCCTGGTCGGATACTACGACGAATCGGTCTTCCGAGAATTCATCAAAGACTCTGCCAAGGACTACCCCCAGCTCCGCCTCCAATACCTACGTGAATACACGGCCCTGGGAACCGCCGGAGGTCTCTACCATTTCCGCGATGCCATTCTTAAGGGGAGGCCGGAGCGCATCATTGTGCTGAATGCGGACGTCTGCTGCTCGTTCCCGCTGGGTGAGATGCTGAAGTTGTTCGAGGAGAAGGACGCAGAGGCGGTTATTCTGGGAACCAGGGTCAACAACGATGCGGCCACCAACTTCGGTTGTATAGTGTCCGACTCGCACACCAAGCGTGTGCTGCACTACGTCGAGAAGCCCGAAGGCCACATCTCCAACCTCATCAATTGTGGTGTCTACCTGTTCTCGACCGACTGTATCTTCCCTGCGATCCGTAGCGCCATCAAGCGCCGCACCATCCGCCCCCGTCTGGTTTCGTACCCTTCGTCTGAGCACCTTGACGCATCGTTCGTCGCGGCCAACGCCGAAGAGGACTCGGAGAAGAGCGAGGTCATCCGTCTCGAGCAGGACATCCTCTCCGACCTGGCCGACAGCAACCGATTCTTCGTTCACGAGACCAAGGACTTCTGGCGACAGATCAAGACAGCCGGTTCCGCCGTCCCGGCCAACGCACTCTACCTGCAAAAGGCGTTCCAGGCACAATCCGAAGAGCTCACTGCTCCCTCCGCGACCATTGTCCCGCCAGTCTTCATCCATCCTACTGCAACCGTCGACCCGACCGCGAAGCTGGGTCCTAACGTCTCCATTGGGCCCCGTGTGGTTGTTGGGGCCGGTGCTCGTGTCAAGGACTCGATTGTTCTGGAAGACGCCGAGATCAGGCACGATGCATGTGTGATGCACTCGATTATCGGGTGGAGTAGCCGGGTGGGCGCTTGGGCTCGTGTCGAGGGGACTCCGATCCCGATGGGCAGCCACTCGACTAGCATTGTGAAGCATGGAATCAAGGTGCAGAGCATTACGATTCTGGGTAAGGAGTGTGCGGTTGGAGATGAGGTGCGGGTACAGAACTGTGTTTGTCTACCATTCAAGGAGCTCAAGAGGGTATGCTTACGTCCATCCTCATACTGCATTGATTCCGTTGCTAACTTTATCAGGATGTTGCCAACGAGGTTATTATGTAGTCCTTTATTCTGTTGTTCTTCGTTGTCTACCTAATTTTCTACCTACACCATTGTTTGCAGATGACTTTCGCTCAATTCAAGATGACATCCAGCGCTCGCTTTGCCGCTTTATTCAAAACGTGAAACGATAATGTATTCAAATGACCAAGATTGAAGAGATGAGACCAAATACCAACGCCATACCCAATTCTTCCAATAAATAAAATCAAAATATGTGCAAGATCGTAACTCATCATAGATCGGTGAAGATGAGCAGGTATCAGAGATCAAGTGCGCATAGTCACGTCAGCCGAAGAGACCTCTCACCTATACGCACCAGGATCGTAATTCGTCTGCTCCGGTGGCTGCGCATACCCCGACCCAACAGCACTAAACCTCACCCTGGGCGCCCCCCAAACACCCCTTGCCGGCGCATTATCCGAATAATCCTGCGCCTCCCCGGCATGATACTGCTCCAAATGCCCATTCCTCGACACATTCGACCCAGTCCCCGAGTACGCCACACTATCAGCCCTCCCAGGACCAGGACCATGACCAAGCCCACCACCAAGACCCCCAGCGGCCCGCGGATCAGGAACATCATGATAATACCTCACCCCAGCAGTCGGATCATCCGCCGCCATCAGACTCCCACTATTCCTATCCTCCAGCTTCACATCCCCACCAGCCATCATCGGGTTACTAGCCATGGGATCGTAACTTCCGAGTCTAGTCTGGCGCTTGCGCACAATGATATCGAGCGTGACAGCCGCGATGAGGGAGGCGACCGCTGCGACGGTGAAGGAGAAAAACGCCTTGTAGATGCGGCACACTGTTATTCCCGTGGAATTACCCCAGTATGTCTCTGTGCAGGTGGTAAGGATGGTGTGGGACATGCTCCAGCAGAGGACGCCCAGGGCGGCGAGCCAGATGAGGAGCAGGATTGTGTTGGAGGTTAGGTTCAGGCGCGGGGAGAGGCCGCAGCAGCAGTGGACGAGGGTTGTTAGGGTGAAGTTTATGAGGGAGAGGACGACGGCGACGATGAGCTGGATGCTTTTTAGTAACTTGTATAGGTAAAGGTGTATAAGGGGGAAAGACTTACGACTAGGTACACCCATGGTAGTCTGTAGTTTTGTTGGTGCAGGTGGTAAATAAAGAGGGCGAGGATGATGCCGACAATGATAGTGGAGAGAAGGGCGAAGATGCGAATGATATGGAAAGGGATGGCGGGATACAGCGAGGGTTTGACGGATGACTTTTTGGAACGCATTTTGGCGGTAATTCTGTATGTCCTCTGGTTGTCTGAAAGAGGATAGAAGAGGGAGGGATAAGGACGAGAGAAACGAGAGACAGAATGTTAATGTTTGCTGGAGACTGTCGCAACAGTCGATCACCGGCGCGGCTCCACGGGTGTTGCTAAAGAAAGCACGCCTAGTAACGGGGATTTTGTTGCACTATGTATGTACACAGTGTGCCATTAACTAGGTAGTATGTTGTTGTTTCTTTTGAGGGGGAATTGGCCCTCATAATATGCCAGCCTTGTCATAGCAGATTTACTCCGTAAAGACATGATGGTGGCGGTGTTGGCCTGGAGATCGGCCTCGACCACGCGGCGTCTATATTTATCCCGCCCACTATGGAGAACTGTTAGAGACACTTTAGGTGTGTTTCTGGAACGGTGGGTTCATTTAGTGACAGCCGAATCGTACACGGTACTTGTACGTAGTACTCGAGTTAGAATATTTTAGAATATCCTTAATATGGGGTTTAATTTCAGGAGAAGCATGCCAGTTTTTACTCTGTAAACAAGTGAGACAGAAACTGGAGCAGTGACCGATGGGGATATATAACTATGCAGATATCAGCCACGGGATTTTTTTTTTTTTTTTTGCCCAACTAGCAGTAGACCGAAAAGATTATTATGTGTTCTTTCGCATCTTTATCTGAGAGGCCCAAACATTGCGTATTGCAGCTGTCAACTATCACGTTGTAAGGTCACGTGTCATCAATACAACACCGGGCTATCAAAGTCTGTACGCCGACAACTGCCAGCCATAGACTTTGTCGCTTCTGTTTTTGGAATATTGAAGAGGAAAATATAATACACCGATAATGCTCGATCGATAGCATTGAAGGATCATTCTCACTGTGAAACCAACTGTTGTGCGGAATAAGCCATGGGCCTCCTGAGGACGGTGGCCCTGGGGATCCTGGGGATCTCTGGTCTGACATTTGTTGCTCTGTTTGGAAGACTGCCGGTTTTTAGGTACTATGGAGATCTCAGAAATTTAGTCTAACAAGTCTAACTGGTCTGCAGGAAAACACCCATCAGTTTTCTCTACAAGGTCGTTTGGAAATACATCCCGAATGGCATATCTTATTTCGACAATCGCCTGCTGGGTGGATGTCTTACATTCTGCTGTAACCGAACCGGCAAATACGTATGGAATGAGAACCACCCATTAGTCTTAGTCAGTATTTAACGAGCTGAGTGACTTTCCTGGTGCTAACATATATAGATTTTCT